ATTCATTACCATATTTTGTGAGGCAGAAAAGCTGAAACGAATACTTCATTTTTTCAAATTATATCATATTATTTCTTTCCATTTATTTTTATAGAAGAATCGAAAACCAGGGCGCAATTAGGGAAAATTTGAACGATCTTAATAACTTGACCAGGATCTCTATGTGGCTCCTAAGCCCACATCGGTCTGGTAGATGCTTTTCGGCTGGTGTAACTCGTGAGTTCATCGTGCTTATTTTTTGTATTTAACCACCTTCGTGGTTCTTTTTTCATCTTTGACGTCGATACTTAATTTTGACGGACTTGACTGAATGTAATGTGTACTTGAAAATGATGCAATACGGCAGAGTGTTTATTGAGTTGCGAAGTGATTTGTGTGGTAGGATGTTGTCAAATGTCAGATGTACTGACCGAGAGAAGTATCTCAGAGTATCAAGTGACATCACTGCAGTGCCTCTGACCACGAAGTTCTAGATTCTACTCTCGACGGTGGTAGGAATTTCGGTACAAGCTACGTAGCTGGGTAGAATTCAGCCGCTGTTTGGAGAATTCTGACCGGCTGCTCTGATCGGTAGTTTATCCGTGGTTTCTCCTATCATCACCAGGCGAATGCCGGAGCAGAAGCCTAACAAACAGGCCACGGATTGCACGCGATCTTTTCATCCTCATCTTTGTCCTATCCTCATCCCTTACACACACACACACACACACATTCAATACACTCATCCCACCGGGAGACTGATCGGGCACTTAGAGCTCTAGGGTGTTGGCTATAATCTCTAAGATTCCGTCGGTCTCCTGATATGAATGGAAGTATAGTGCTTCTTTGTGTGTGTGTCTATAAGAAAGGGGAGTTATAGGAAGAGGAAGGAAAGATCGCATGCAGTTTGTGCTCCATTTTTTAGGTTTCTATTCCGGCATTCGCCTAGTATTCATCTGAGAAACCAAGGAAAACTACTGATCAAAGCAGCTGTCCTCTTAGAATTCTCCGGTTAGAGGTACTGCAGTGACATCATTTGATGCCCTGAGCTACCTCTCCCGGACAAAGTCGCTGCGATGATAGCGACAATGCTGACTGAACCAATACCAGGTATTGTGCTTCATTTTCACCTCCACTTCCACCTCCACCACCACCACCTCTGAGGCTTTCGCCTCCACCCCCCATCCCCACCTCCGAGTTAATGGACTCGTTACTCCCGAACAAGGACGGCCGACCTTAATGAGCGCTATTAGCGTAGTACGTCTCTTTCAAAGACCGACGGAGGAGGATATTTCACGGCGCCCTCCGGAGGCTAAAAAACGCAACTCGCGAGTAAGATGGACTCCTCTTCGGCGCCTGGGGCCTCGCAGGCGCTCGCTCCCCCTTTACACGGAGAATCGATATTCGGACGCCCCAGCGCACGGTGGACCAAGGATGCGGAAGGTGGTCGAAATTCGATTGAAGTTCAAAATTCGCTGGGCAGTGCCTCACACCGGAAGGTCCAAGGCCTTCTGTCTCAACGGCATGGCAGGGTTTTTGACAGTAGCTTCATACACTATGTGGTCAAAAGTATCAGGACACGTGCCTGAAAATGACTTACCAGTTCGTGGCGTCATCCATCGGTAATGATGGAATTAAGTAGAGTGTTAGCCCACCCTTAGCCTTGATGACAGCTTCCACTCTCCAAGGCATACTTTCAATCAGGTGCTGGAAGGTTTCTTGGAGAATGGCAGCCCATTCTAAACGGAGTGCTGCAGTGAGGAGAGGTATCAATGTACACTATTTGATCAAAAGACAAAAAGTATCCGGACACGTGGCTGAAAATGACTTACCAGATCGTGGCGTCATCTATTGATAATGATGAAATTCAGTAGTGTTAGCCCATCCTTAGCCTTGATGACAGCGTCTACTCTCGCAGACATACTTTCAATCAGGTGCTGGAAGGTTTCTTGGGCAATGGCAGCCATTTTTCACGGAGTGCTGTACTGAGAAGAAGCATCGATGTAGGATGGTATTACTCGAGAGTGAACATCTCTGGTTATTAGACTTTTTCAAACACGCTAGTAGCTATTTTTGATTCGTAAGTCGACTAATATTGGTAGACGAGGGGGGTAGGTGTTCCGGGGCGAAATAAAACGTGCACAGGTAATACTACACCTCTGTCTCCGGGATGATTTTTTGCCCACGGTTTGAGTGAGACTGTTCTAGTGACGACGACAACAAAGACTAGTATTGGCATGAACAGGAAGCAACGGCATCTGCCAACTAACAGAGAGGATCTGAGAAGCTCGATGTTCTCAACAATTTCTATGACGCTGTAACAATGGAACGACAACTCAGTCATTTGAGAGACCATCTGCATGTGTTACAGAATTGAACGACTAGCCGGCATTCGCGTGGAATTGATCGGAAGAACCACGAAGAACACCTACTAGATCAGTCGGCCGCTGGCATTGTATTATTTAAATTTCACCGTTAAATATTAGTTTATTTTTTGATGATCAATCTATGTACGTCGCTGGGCATAAAAACAATTATGTTATAGAAAATATTTTATTTGGCAGTTTCACTTGTGTAACGTGTTCAGTTGTTTACTGTCCTCTGAATAAGTGTTGCAAAAAACGTACATCTATCATGTGTGGATTTCATGAAGGCTGATGTTGATACAGGCACTAGATGGATACGATTTCAAAATGGATGTTTTAATTACAGACATCTTTATTGGATGATCCCACCCTTAAGGCAGTTTTGACAAAAATTCATATTCATTAATAAATAGACCAAGAAATGGTAAGATTCCAAGCTCAATGAAAGGAGGCTTGGAGGAATTACCTGAATGGCAACTTTTCTTATGTCATGGTTTAGAATTCCTAGTCTACGGAAAAAAGGATCAAAATTACCTTATTTACAATGTGCCGTATCTTTTTGAACCACAACATTTCTTAGTAAAGTAAAATATTCAAAAATAACCTTATTGTTCTAGATTATGAGCAATTCACCAGATTTCAAATACCGTGTTAACATGAGGGAAGTGCCCTTCTTGAACACAAAATTTGGCAGTATTAAGTATGGTAAATAAAAGATGTTGTCTGGTATCAACAATTTATTTTGCTAATGATCGTTTCCATCACGTTGCGTTCACCCTCAGAGCTAAGATTAGAATTATCGAAATACATTATATTAATACATGAATTATAAACAATTAGGTATAAAATAATACAAATATTATATACAAGATGTAGACATTGCAAGCCAAATGCGTAAGCAAACTAGGTCGTACATTGTACATCTGACATGCAATGTCTATATCTTGCTAGTTAGCAAAATAAATTGTTGATACGAGACATCTTTTATGTATCATACTTAAATATTATAAGGTATCTACCTCACCAGCGATATAATTATTGGCAGCATTAAGAATATATTTATATGTAAAACTGAAATTCAATTGCAAGTGGAGATACGTCATTTTAGAACATAGTTCAATTGAATTGATTGAGACATTTACTCGTATATTTGTTCACGTTTTTATCAATCTGGGCCATAGTACAACGTCTTGAATACTTATCTGTTTGTGTCGAGTAACGAACTAGGGGAAGTTGTAACTTCCACTTTTTTTACGGACCGTTTATCACCTTCCACGATTTGTTTTTATTTCGCAGGGCGAAGATTAGCTGGTAATTGGTAGATTCGCGAAGTGCTTGTCTTGATGGGAAGTGATTAAGTAAAGTAGCGACTGTGTTTTAATGTGGGCTAATCGTGGTGGAAATTATTGAGGTCAAACATTTAAGTCTGAGAATCGCTTACGCTACTGATATTTTTCTTGCAGTCTCACAATCAAATTTTGCGGTCCCATAATAGTAGAATTGAAATATGAATTTAAAAAATTACAGAAGAATAAAATTTGGATCTATACGCCCGTTTTTACCGAAAAAAATTGCCATATTTGAGAAAATGTTGTCGAAGAGTTTGAATAAATGTGAAATTTTGAGGTAATTTTCAAAGAAACTCTTTGAATTTTCGAGATATTTCCTAAACTTTAACTACAATTCCTTGAGTACATAAATGTAATAATGTAAAAATACATGTCTGATGTTTTCAAAACCACTATTTTTTCGATATTATGGGTACGGGTACTTCCGTTAAAATCTCTAAATAGATTTTCCACAGCACTTCATAACTACCTCTAAATTTCATATATTTCTCCTTCTATATGTACTTATAGGAAAAAGTAAAGTTTGAGAATATATTTGATAACTATCGTCCATGGCGTAAGTCTCCCGACGACTTAGCGTCGTCTTGTTATTTAGAAGAAAATTGATACAAGCGAGACAGATCATTTTGTGAAAATAAGTTCTGTCAGCTCGTTAAACCAGCTTAATTGTCTCATATCTCTAGAAGACATGATCAATTTTAAATTGTTGCAAATATTAAGCAAGTTCCTGAAAATATTTTTGTTATGGATTGTACCATTTGGATTAACGAAAATTGTGAGCGCATAATATTCAGATATTATGAAAAAGTGGATAAATATTGTACCTAAGTAAACTACATCCTCTAATACGTAGTGCAGTCAGAATCCACGTTTTGTGAATCCTTGATCAACACACCTGTCTGTGCATTTTTTGTCTGTGATCAGCGCTAGCGTCTGAAGCGTTCAGACGATATTTCAATTTTTGGAGGTTCATAACAGAAAGTCGCAACATTTTTGCAAAAAGGGCTCTTAATATTTCGGTGACACTTTGTCCTCGAACAGCGTAAAAATCTATTTAAAAAGTGGTGCAAGTCTCAATTTTTGATGAATTCCCTGCATTTTCAAAGAATGCAGAAGTCAGAAATGATACGATACGGTGTGTAGTGTTGTAGCACAACTAGTTTTCTTAGCGAAAGCTTTCGGTGCAAGTAACGTAAATCGTTTCTGTAAATCATACATGATGATTTTTTGAAATTAACGATTACTGAGCAGCTGGTCTGTCATATCAATTTGTGCTTGTGTATTTGTGCAAGTGTTAGAAATACGCATGGGAGACCATCTCCCAATTCGAAAACCTTTCTTACGTTGTGATGTTGCACACAGAACCGACCAGCTTAAGAGAAGCAAGGAGAAGCTCTATTCTCTTCGAAGCAGTAAGATGGCCGAGGCAGCAGATAGTGATTGTTGTATTTCTCAGCGGTATGCGGGTCTCTAGACCACGTCTTTTCTCTTTGAAGTGTTTTTATTTTTTTTATTTCATAAACTGAAATCGTCTCATACCTTTGGGAAAGGATATTATGACCGAAAATCAGTAAATTATGTTCGTAATATTTATTGGAACATTTATTATTTACGAAAATATACTCGTAATTTTAAAATTAATAACACTGACCATTTTCAATGTATCTTGGGAAGAAAAGTACATTTTTGGATATTTGGAAGCTACGTCTAAAGTTCAGTTTGCTCAATCACGTAACGAAATTTAATTTGCTGTGAAATTATTCAGTTAATCATGATGCAAGTATTCTGAAGAAGATTCTAAGGCAGTTTTAGCCACCCATTTTAACAATTCGTATCAGAAAGTAAGTTTTTAATATATTTTGAGGTACCTATATAATTTATAGCCTACTTGATTGTACAATTCAAGCATTTAGGAAAAATGTTGAATAATTTGAAAAAAAAAAACATCAGTAAGTGATAAAATAAACTTCTTTTGATCTGAGTTAAGGTTCTGCATGGATCAAACAACGAAATTATGACCCATGTAGTCCAAAGATGTGTTAAAGAACATAGATTCATCGAATACCCAACAGTTACTTGAGATGCGTTGCTTTTCAGAACACCGAAAACTGCCTTACATTCTTCAGAATACTTGTCATATTCAGCAGCATTATTAAGTGTATAATGTCCCTGGAAATGAAATTTCGCCACGTGAGTGAGCAATTTGTTTTCAATCTATACAGCTATCGCAATCTGCAGAAACATATTTTATTCTTATGTTGTATTAAAAATTATCAATGTTATTTTTTAAATTCAGTATAAATTCAGTTTAGCAATTTAAATTAGCATTAAATTTTAATTTACTAAATTTATTATTAAATGTATTTAATATATAAGTATAAAGTATTTAATAATTTATATTATTTAATTTTAAAATTTTAATTATAATTTCAATTACCAGTTTAAATTAGAAGTATAAATTCATACTCTATACTATTAGTTAAAGAGAAAAATCCGAATAATACACATTTTAACTGATTTCGTGTTTTGCTGGTAACATGTTCATTTCAAATTTATTCAACGAATCCCTAATTTCCAAACACATCACAAAATAACTACAAGTAAATAACGTTAGTGGCGGCATTATAAAGGGGGTAGTGATAATTAAAGCACTACACCTCAAAGTTTAAAAACACGCTGACGCTGGCTCTCCCCCCCCCCCGCCCCAGCCGTGAATCTGCTAGTTACATGCTAATGACTCGCGTAGGCGATATTTAAATGGTGAAAAACGAAGAGGTGATAAACGGGCAAAAACGGTTTCGGCGCCTGTAGTCTTTGAACACCTTGTTTTAATCACCTCTCCCGCGGTGGAGCCAGCGTCTTCCCGTGATATTTTCTCACGATGGTTCCGCCGAAGTTTAGGAACACGGATATCTCCTTTCGAGAAAATTTCGCCGGTTATCGTTCTTCGGGAAGTATCTATATATTTTTTGTATAAATAAAACGTGATTAATTACACATTTTTGGAGATGAGTTCAATAACTTTGTTAATATGATTAGATGTATTCGTAATTTATGATTCACAATTGCTGAACATGCATAGATAATAAATCATGTTGATAAATCAGGCCCATTAAAAGGACCAAAAGACGTTATAATATTGGGAGAGACATTGACAAAACATGTTACAATATTGAGAGTATGAAATGTCTGAAATGTAACATTTAAAGTGAAAAACCTTTACAACTGGTGTATATGAGCATAAATACAAATACAAATATTTTTTTGATTTTAAATTTTAATCGTAAATAGCACATGCGTTGTTAACAAAAAGAAGTCGGTTATCAGAGTGTTAAGCAAGATTTTCTCACAAACCGTTCCATATCTTTCTTGAAATTCTTTTAGGGAAGAGGACAATATACTGAATTATTTAGTGAGTTTTTGTCGTTAAAACTTTTGAAATTTTAAAAATGAAGATCATCTATTTTTTCGAATCGCCCACACTTTCTTTTGTACATAGAATTTTGACACAAGTTGGTTCAATTATCAGTGGGATACAACTTGCGATCTACTAATCTTATGAAATCATTACCCATGTTTCAAGAAAGTATGTTTGTAGCCCTACTAGTTAAAAATGTGTTAGTGGTACTCGATTTTATATACAATTGCGAATTTAGTGGTTCTAGAGTATCGAAAGTTTGATGTAATCTTATCAAGATATGCTCTCCCAATACTGGAAATTCGCATTTGTCAATGCTTAAATTGGAATAAATCACTATTTAAAAAAAGAAAATCAAAGTGAATTTACATCAAATCTTGTTGGGTGAATCTATCCTAAGTCAGGTATCAGCTTTATTCAAACCTCGTTTTCTCCCCTTCGCGTAGGTGTCTCGTGTAACGGTCAGCTCCCCCTCTCTCTGCAGGTTAGTTAAATTTTAGGCCCTCGTTACATTTTTCGTTCGCAAACCGGCGTTGCTCGATTCGGAGCTCATGAATACAGAGAGCGCCACGCATCGACGGCCCATCGTCCAGGAGGCCTTGCTAGTCGACATTACGGTAAGCAGCTGTATACATTTGTGTACATTTGGACGCGAGACAAATCGCTGCTCGACCTCAGCCACGGAGGAGGACTTGAGCGGGATGGATGGGTTTATTAGTAGCGGTTTAGCGTCTCCAGCGACAGCTTTCAAATAACTAATCTGCTAACAAAGCCCCGATAGTGTTAATAATATATTAACGTCACATTTATTGCACATAGTTTATATTACAGGAGAACTAATATGTTTCTTAACAATTCTTGCCCAAAACGTTCGTTTCCACCAGTATTCGTATTTCAACTTGTGTGCCAGGAAGGCTAGAGATCCCAGAACTCACGAAAACGTGCCCAGAATGCACTTCTCCCTTTACTATGTCTAAATAGGTTTTAACTGTTTTTTGACGTTTAAATAAATAAAATATGGAAAAAACATTCGAAAATTCCCCACTCTGTGAAGTAAATTCGAAGTGAAAAGTGCCTTGCATTGGAACCCATGAATGAATGGCTAGGATCGTATCTGCATTATAAGACTGTGTTGTATAAGTACTGTAGACGAGTAAATATTAAACAATTATTAAAAGTTAATTAACATGTTAATAAAATCTCAGCAGAGAGGGTCAGACGATTTAATATTACAAAATATAAAATTATCAATATAGATTTCATATATTTCGTGATTCTGCACGTAAAAGACTATGTAAGACCCTATAGAATGGGGATACCCAGAAAAGTTAAACGTCCAAAAATGAAGCAGAGGTTCGAAATATAATCTTGTTTTGTAGTTTTTGTCCTAAAATTAACGCATGCATGTCGTCTTTAGAGAAGGCCGAATATTTGGTTCTGGTATGGTAGTGTACGAGAATGTTAGGGGTGGAGTGAAACAAATTTTATAATTTCAAAGTAATTGTTTGATAAATCTATAGACCATAAGGATAAAGCATTTTATTTAAATGTGAAGGTGGTTAAGTTTTAGTTCAATTACTGAGCAATGAAGGCCCGAGTTAGTAAAAGTCGGCGTTGCCGATGTGGCTGAGTTACGTGAAAAACGTAACAAGCCGAGAAGAAAGTAGGGAGTGAAGTTTAGTAAAGATAATGTCACAAAGGGGGGGTGAGCAATTGCGACGGTCGTTGTGATAATGGTGGTTGTAATGGTGATGAATTTTGAGGCGGTGATGTGGTGGTGGTGGTGGTGGTGTCTGTGTGAGACGTCAGAAATGCGAAATCGATATCGATTTTTTTTAAACATCTATATTTTTGCACAAGCATAGATAACTCTAACATTTATTTTTTGATTCTTTTGATTACTTATTTATTGCATTTTTTGAGTTTGTTCAGTCAGCTAAATCTCAATCATAAACTATTAAAATGACTATCGTGATATGAAAACGCAGTGATCCGTGCATGTGAACACTGATGTTAGAGGTTGCTAATAGAGTTTTTCAATCATCGATGTTTAAAAACACCGATCATTTAGTTAATTGATTTATTATTCCTGGCGCGTCAATTGCTATTTATTACTCCCGTAAGAATAGTGCATGTTTTGCTGCAAGTGGCGGTGATTTTCCTCCGCTGGCTGGCGGGACCCGACTTGCGAGGATTTCCCCAACCAGGTATCTCCCAGCGCGGAAACGCCTCAGCCAGGGCAAGCTCTGAGCTCCCGATATGTGTGGTAGTGTAGAACAAATAAGAATAAATGTGTGAAAGGGGTGAGGATACGAAGAAGAGGAGGGAAATATCGCCCGCAGTCAGTGGTCCGTTTGTACGGGTACTTCTTTGCCATCCCCCAAATGTTGATGAAAACTAACCATCAGAGCAGCTGGTCTAGACAGCAGCTAGGTGAGAAGCTAGAGTCAAAAATCCTGCCACCGTCGAGACTCAAACCTAAGACCTCCCGGTCAAAGGCACTGCAGTGACATCAGTCGACGGTCTCGCTGCTAGATTTTTATACTTCCAGAATCTATACTTCGAAACATCGATGTTTCGTGGCCATTGTCGCATCCCCAGTCGAGGTCAGTGCGCGAGGTTTGTGCCGTGTTTGCGGGGAGGGGGGAAGACAGGCGAGGCCTGGCGTCCCGCTGTGCGTGGTTCCGGGTTCGAGTACCGACTTCGGCGGCGATAAGCGGCTCATTAGTTGCGCAGGTGCCTTGCTCCCTCCCTCCGCCCTCTCTCTCCCCTCCCTCTCTATCTCACGCTCTCTCTTCTCTCTCTCTCCCTCTCTTTCTCTCTCCCACTCACTCATACACACACATACAGAGTCTTTCCGGCACCATCGTCCCCTATCTACTGTCTTTACCACCGTCGACACTGGCCATTGCCACTGCTGTAGTCTTCGTCTCCCGTTCACTCCTCTTGTAAAGCTGCCAACTGGGTGCTCAGAGCTCGGCCCCAAATCGACCATGTCCGCAAACGGACGTATAATCGGCGCCCAATCTCGCCACCCAGTAAAGAAGGAAATATCACTATCTCTAGGAATAAAAACAAAACAACCACTTCACTAACGGGATTAACGACTTGATGATGTGCCCGGAAACGTCAACCAATCGATGACCTTCATCATCATTACCACTTTCGTCACCGTCTCCACCATTCGCTACACTTCACCTCCGTCATCACCTCTGCCACTTCCGCTGCGACCGATTTTTTCACCGCTTCCTTTACTTACTTCCGCCTTTATCAACTCTTTGGCAACCGTCTCTGCAATTTCTTCGCCCATCTAAACTCGAATTCTGTTACTTTTCTTGTCAATAACTCGCGTCCATATACCGACCTTCTAACAACAATAGCATACATTCATCCAGCTACTCTGCAACCATTATCTTTTTCCAATCTTCAGTTTTTGATAATTAAAGAACACAATATTGTTCGTTGATTATTTGAAACTAGACACTGGAAATATAATAAATGGAGTAATGAAAGGGGAGTTTGCCCATTCCAGCATTGGAAATATCATAATCTTTGCCTCTGCACATCATCGCACGCTTAAACTCTGCCTCTAATTCCGTCGTCATTCATCACCCATCGTGACCGCCCTACACTCGACGACGCAACTACTGACATTGCGATTCCAACGTCATCTTATGACGTTGCCGTCAACATCAATAAGTTAACACCGCCACCAATACCAATTCTCCCATCACCAACACTGTCTCCATAATCACCTTGAGTTCACCTCCACTCGTTTCCTCCACCATTTTTAGTCTCCATCTCGTCACTTTCGGGTTCTGTGTTACCGATTCCACTATCTCTCCCACCGTCACCGACGCCTCCACCATCACCACCGCCTCCACCACCCCCGCGGTCGCCCTACCACGACCTACACCTTTAGCATCTCCGCTTCGGCC